GTAGAGACGGGGTTTCACCATGTTGACCAGGATGGTCTCGATCTCTTGACCTCGTGATCCACCCACCTCGGCCTCCCAAAGTGCTGGGATTACAGGCTTGAGCCACCGCGCCCGGCCTCTTTTATGTGTTTTCATAATGGTAGATATTGTCCTTTCACTTCTAGGTGTAGGACTCTTAAGCATATTTTGTAGGGCTGGTCCAGTGATGATGAATTCCCTCACCTCTTGCTGTCTCGGAAAGACTATTTCTTCTTCATTTATGTTGAATACTTTGCTGAGGATAGTATCCTTGACTGAATTTTTTCTTTCAGCACTGAATATATAATCTCATTCTATCTCATTTCTCTCTGTTGAGAAATCTGCTGTTAGGCTGATGAGAGTTCCCTTGTGAGTGACTAGATGCTCTTCTCTTGCTGTTTTTAGTATTCTCCTTTGTCTTTGACTTTTACATTTTGACCATAATGTGCCATGGAGAAGACTTTTTTGTGTTGTATTTATTTGAGTATCTCTGAGCTTCCTGTATCAGGATGTATGCTTCTCTTACTAGAGTTGGAAAGTTTCCTGCTATTATTTCATTAATAGATTTTCTATCCTTTATGTTTTGTCTTCGTCTCTAGGACCTCGGAAATTCAAATATTTTGTCGTTTTATGATGTCTCATATGTCACAGAGGCTTTATCCATTCATTCAGATGTTCTGAGGAAAACATTTATCCTAAGGCTTAAAAGATGAGTTAGGGGCCAGGTGTAGTGACTCACGTCTGTAATTCTAGCACTTTGGGAGGCTGAGGTGGGTGGATCACAAGGTCAGGAGTTCGAAACCAGCATAGCCAATATGGTGAAACCCTGTCTCTACTAAAAATACAAAAATTAGCTGGGCTTTGTGGCGGGCAGCTGTAGTTTCAGCTACTTGGGAGGCTGAGGCAGGACAATTGCTTGAACCCAGGAGGTAGTGAGCTGAGATCATGCCACTGCACTGTAGCCTGGCAATAGATGAGTTGTATGTTTGTTACAAAGAGCCAGGCCAGAGAATTCTTGGAGGATGAAATAGTCTAAGCAAGGAAGAAGATAAGAGAAAGGTTATATCATGTTCTGGTTGCTAAAAGGAGGCAGTGGGTAGAGATCAGTCATAAAGGAGTACAGTGTCCTGATAGGAAGTTTTGTTCTCTGTGTTAAGGATTTGGATTTTATTTTCGGAGTAAAGATAAACCATTCAAAACCAGTTTTAAGTATGATTTGTAAACTTTGGTATAAATCAGAATCATCTGGTAGAGATATTAAAAATACAGCTTTGACTGGGTGTGATGGCTCCCACTGGTGACCCCAGCATGTTGGGAGATCGAGGCAGGAGGAATTGCTTGATGCCAGGAGTTCAAGACTAGCTTGGGTAACATGGCAGGACACCATCTCTACAAAGTAAAAATAAAAAAATAAGAATAAAATAAGAATTGGCCAGACTTTGGACTGCAGGAAGACTAAAGAAAAAGAAAAACAAATTATCCAGACATGATGGTATGTGCCTGTTGCCATAGCCACTTGAGAGGCTTAGGCAGGAGGATTGCTTGATTCTGGGAGTTTGAGGCTGCAGTGAGCTATGATCATGCCACTGCACTATAGCTTGTATAATAGAGAGAAACCCTGTCTCTTAAAAAAAAAAATACAGGCCGGGTGCAGTGGCTCACGCCTGTAATCCCAACACTGAGAGGCCAGGGCAGGTGGGTCACCTGATGTCAGGAGTTCCTGACCAGCCTGGCCAACATGGTGAAAGCCTATCTTTTCTAAAAATACAAAAATTAGCCGGGCATGGTGGCAGATGCCTATAATCCCAGCTACTCAGGAGGCTTAGGCAGGAGAATCACTTTAACCTGGGAGGTGGAGGTTGCAGTGAGCTGGGATCATGCCATTGTGACAAGAGTGAAACGCCCTCTCAAAAAAAAAGAAAAAAAAAATACATCTTCTCTAGTTAAAAATTCTGATTCTGCACATCTGAGTTGCTTGAATGTCAATATCTGTAATAAGCTTACCAAATGGTTTTGATTCACACCTAAATTTCACAAAATCACCATCTTACCTAAACTTTCTTCATTACTGGCACCCTTTTTCTTTTTCAGGTCCATGAAAGTATTATATTTTATACTTAGGCCTTTTGTTTAATGGATTTTGTATGCATGTATGTTATAGGAAAATAAACTATGTTTGTCTTCTTCATTTCTTTCAGATTTGGAATCAAAATGTGGACCTGAGAAAATATCACCAGAAAATGATATTTCTGAAATAAATTTACCAAAACAGGTTATAAGGCAAATAAGTAAAACACTTGGCCTTGAGGCCTTTTATTTTAGAAATGTCTCAGAATATAGATGTAGATTTGAGGGACTACAGGGACATCAAGAAGGATATATCAATATCAATCAGAAGATGATCAACTATGAAGAAATGCCTACTTATCCTCATGCTTCTCTTATTCACAATACACATAAACCATATGAATGTAAGGAATGTGGGAAATACTTTAGTTGTGGTTCACATCTTATTCAGCATCAAAGTATTCATACTGGAGAGAAACCCTATAAATGTAAAGAATGTGGGAAAGCCTTTCAACTTCACATACAACTTACTCAACATCAGAAATCTCATACTGGTGGGAAACCTTTTGAATGTAAGGAATATGGAAAAGCCTTTAATCTTCCCACCCAGCTTAATAGCCATAAGAATATTCACACAGGTGAGAAACTGTTTGAATGTAAGGAATGTGGGAAGTCCTTTAATCGTAGCTCAAACCTTACTCAGCATGAAAGTATTCATGCTGGTGTAAAACCTTATCAGTGTAAGGAGTGTGGGAAAGCCTTTAATCGTGGTTCAAATCTTATTCAGCATCAGAAAATTCATTCCAATGAGAAACCCTTTGTATGTAGGGAATGTGAGATGGCCTTTCGATATCAGTACCAACTTATTGAACATTGCCAAATTCATACTGGTGAGAAACCCTTTGAATGTAAAGAATGCAGGAAGGCCTTTACTCTTCTGACAAAGCTTGTTCGACATCAGAAGATTCATGCAGGTGAGAAGCCCTTTGAATGTAGAGAATGTGGAAAGGCCTTTAGTCTTCTCAACCAGCTAAATCGCCATAAGAACATTCACACAGGTGAAAAACCATTTAAATGTAACGAATGTGGGAAGTCCTTCAACCGTAGTTCAAACCTTATCCAACATCAGAGTATTCATGCTGGTGTAAAACCATATGAATGTAAGGAGTGTGGGAAAGGCTTTACTCGTGGTGCAAATCTTATTCAGCATCAAAAAATTCATTCCAATGAGAAACCCTTTGTATGTAGGGAATGTGAGATGGCCTTTAGATATCATTACCAACTTATTCAACATTGCCAAATTCATACTGGTGGGAAGCCCTTTGAATGTAAAGAATGTGGAAAGGCCTTTAGTCTTCTGACACAGCTTGCTCGACATAAGAACATTCATACTGGTGAGAAACCATTTGAATGTAAAGACTGTGGGAAGGCCTTCAATCGTGGCTCAAACCTTCTTCAACATCAGAGTATTCACACTGGTGTGAAGCCCTATAAATGTAAGGAGTGTGGGAAGGCTTTTAGGCTTCACCTACAACTTTCTCAGCATCAGAAAACTCATACAGGCGAGAAACCCTTTGAATGTAAGGAATGTGGGAAATTCTTTCGTCATGGTTCAAATCTTAATCAACATCGAAGTATTCATACCGGAAAGAAACCCTTTGAGTGTAAGAAATGTGGGAAAGCCTTTCGACTTCATATGCACCTTATTCGACATCAGAAATTGCATACTCGTGAGAAACCTTTTGAATGTAAGGACTGTGGCAAGGCCTTCAGTCTTCCCATCCAGCTTAATTGCCATAAGAAAATTCACTCAGGTGGGAAGCCATTTGAATGTAAGGAATGTGGGAAGTCCTTTAATCGTGTCTCGAACCTTGTTCAACATCAGAGTATTCATGCTGGTGTAAAACCATATGAATGTAAGGAGTGTGGGAAAGGCTTTAATCGTGGTTCAAACCTTATTCAGCATCAGAAAATTCATTCCAGTGAGAAACCCTTTGTATGTAAGAAGTGTCAGAAGACCTTTAGATATCATTACCAGCTTATTGAACATTGCCGAATTCATACTGGTGAGAAACCTTTTGAATGTAAAGAATGTGGAAAGGCCTTTAGTCTTCTGACACAGCTTGCTCAACATCAGATCATTCATACTGGTGAGAAGCCATTTAAATGTAAGGAGTGTGAGGAGGCCTTCAATTGTGGCTCAAACCTTGTTCAACCTCAGAGTATTCATACTGATGAGAAACCCTATGAATGTAAGGAGTGTGGGAAGGCTTTTAGACTTCACCTACAACTTTGTTGGCATCAAAAACTCATACAAGTGAGAAACTCTTTGAATGTAAGGAATATGGGACAACCTTCAGATATCAGTACAAACTTACTGAACATCAGAAAATTCATACTAGGGTGAAAGCCTTTGAATGTAAGGAATGTGGGAAGACCTTTGATATTATTATCAATTTCTTGGACATTATGGAATTCATACTGGTGAGAACCCTTATGAATGTCAAGAATGTAGGAAATGCTTTACTGGTGGTAGAAACCTTAGAATACATCAGAGAATTCATACTGGTAAGAAAGCATATCAATGTGAAGAATGTGGGAAAGTCTTTAGTCATAGTTCAAATCTTGTTCAACATGTTAAAATTCATACTGATGAGAAACCCTGTGAATGTAAGGAATGTGAAAAGGGCTTTAGTAGTAATTATGAACTTACTGTACATCTAAGAATCCATATTGCTGAGAAACCTTGTGAATGTAAGGAATGTGGGAAAACTTAGATTTTGCTCAGTCTTTACTGCATATCAAAGAATTTATACTAGTATGAACCCTATGAATGTAAAGAATGTGGAAAGACCTTTAGTTGTAGCTCGAGCGTTGTTCAACATGTTAAAATTCATACTGGTGAGCAGCCTTGTGAATGTGAATGTAAAGGATGTGGAAAGACCTTTAGAGTTAGTTCAGTCCTTTCTGCACATCACAGAATTCATACTGATGTGAAACCCTATGAATGTAAAGAATGTGGACAAGCCTTTACTGTGAATGGTCAGCTTACTCGACATCAGAAAATTCATAATAGAAGTTTTGTGAATATAAGGAGTGTGGACAAGCCTCCACTGTGTATGAAAAATTTACTCAACACCAGGAAATTCACATTAATGAGAAATCCTATGAACATAAAAGAATGTGTGAAGAACTTTCGTCATGACCTGGGATTTGCTCAACATCAGAGTATTCATACTGCTGAGAAATCTTTTTAGCTTAAGAATGTGGGATGTTTTATATCCACACTAAATGCCTTAGAGTTCAGAGAAGATAATTTTGGTGAGAAAGTTATTGACGTGAGGAATGTAGAGTACCTGCCATGTTCACAGTTTACTGCCCATGAAGTGTTTTACTGGATTCAGGCATACCTTGCTTAATTGTTCATTGTAGTTACTGTGTTTTATACACATTGAAGCTTTGCAGGAACCCTACAGTGAATAAATCAATCAGCACCATTTTCCAAACAGCATGTGCACATCTTGTGTCTTTGTGTCACACTTTAGTAGTTTTCATAATATTTCAAACTTTTTCATTGTTATATCTGTTATGGTGATCTATGACCAGTGTTTTTTGATGTTACTAGTGTGATTGTTTTGGGATACCACAAATCCTGCCCATAAAAGATGGTGAACCTAGCTGACAATTGTTGCAGATTTTGAAAGATAGTAAAATATATACCATATACCCCCACTTAGATTCAAAATTGTTAATGTTTATTTTTTTTGTATATTTGTTGTACCATGGAGAATAAATTTTAGACATCATCACACTTTAACCCTTATTACATCAGCATGTGTATTACCCAAACATAAAGACAATATCATATAGCCATAGTACCATAATTACCCTTAAGATTCATAATTCTGTAATATCATTCTATCTTTAGATTTCTTCATTGGCCTGCAAACCATCTTTTACAGCTATTCATTTTCTAACGAGAATCCATTGCAGATTCTACATTGCATTTGGTTCTCTCTCTTTAGTGTATTGTAGCCTAGAAACCATATGAATGTATGCTTTCAAATTATAGTGGGTATCAGAATCACCTGTGGAACTTAGTAAAACTACAGAAGTGTAACCCTATCTTATAAGCCTGGGCCTCTGTGTTTTTATATTATTTCTCCAGGTGATTGTGATACCAACCAGGGTTGGAGAGCCACTGGTCTAGAACATTTCTCCTCCTTTTTAAAAAAATGACATTGAATTTTGAGTAGCCCAGAAATGTTGTCTGCTATGTGTTTAGATTTCTTTCTTTATAGTGTCATTTAGCCTTGTTCTTGGTTGTGTTTTCTGTACAATATGTAAGTCCACAGGCTTGTTAGGTCCAGATTAAACGTTTTAGGGAAGAATACTTTGTAGATTATTTGTATGTCATGTTTTACTGTCAAAACATTTAAGTACAGGTCCTTACATTAGTGAAACTAAGGATGATAATTTGGGTAAGTTGGTAGCTGCCATAAGTCCATTGTAAAGATTTAGTTTGTAGTGGGTAAGTAATCTATGGAGAGACTTTGTCATCTCTGAAAATTTATAGTCATGTGTATTTAAGCCCTGGATTGAATACAAAATGAAAATTGAAATAGACTATTAAGAAATGAATGCCATTAAAGCATCAACATAATTCAACTTGTATGATATGGCGGACAGTGTCCTCAATACAAAATTGGCACCCTTCAGATTATACAGGGGATTGTTTTGTCTGGAGACTTTTTTTTGTTCAGCATGTATCACCAGCACCTATATGATGGCTGGTACATGAGCTGTTGATAAACTTTGAAAAAAAATTAGGCCTTTAAATCAAGCTATAAAACATGATACCATTAGTCTGGGTGCAGTGGCTTACGCCTGTAATTCCAGTACTTTGGGAGGCCAAGGTGGGCAGGTCACCTGAGGTCAGGAGTTTGAGAACAGCCTGGCCAACATGGCGAAACCCCATCTTTACTAAAATTACAAAAATTAGCTGGATGTGTGGCGGATGCCTGTAATCCCAGTTACTTGGGAGGCTGAGGCAGAAGAATCACCCAAACTCGGAAGGTGGAGTTTGCAGGGAGCTGAGACCGCACCACTGCACTCCAGCCTGAGCAACAGAGTGAGACTTCATCCCAAAACAACAACCAAAAAAACCCCAAAACAAAACATGATACCATTGTGGCATTATGAATTAGATTTTTTTAAGATTAAGAATAATCCTTTGTGAATTTATTCCATGGTATTAAAACATTTATAAAGTGATCATTTGTATTGATAGCTTTCTTCTTTTTGTGAATATATCCTGGTCAAATTATTCTTTTGATAGACTACTTATTCTATCTTTTACCATTTAATGGCATCTATAATCATAAGTTATAATTTTTAAAGTATTTTTCAGGTATTGATATTGCAATGATCTTATAAAACTTATAAAGCAAGATTATATAAAACTTGGCTTTCAAATTTTATGTTCCTATTTTTTATTTCCAGTTTCATCTTTCCTGTATTCATTCTCTTGAACTTTCTTCTTTGACCTCAAAAGATTCCCTGGGTATTAACCCAGCACAACTCCGTTATGGGTCACTGCACGTCCCAGTAGTATTATTAAGAATTGTCATACAAGAAAGATCCCTGGCAGCCTTTCAATGAAACTCTATCATCATGCAATCTTGGCAGTACTATGTTGGAAGTCAGAGTCCCTTTGAAAACATAAAAAATACTTTATTTGCTAAAATTACAAACCAAGTATGCACAAATTTAAAAATCACAGCTGGGCACAGTGACTCACACCTGTAATCCCCAACTTAAAATGGTTTGACTTACAATGTTCAGCTTTATAATGGTACAAAAGTGATAATGCTGCTATAGTTTGGCTACTTTTCCCCTCCAAATCTCATGTTGAAGTTTGATCCCAGTGTTGGAGGTGGGGCCTAATGGGAGGTGTTTGGGTCATGAGGGAAGATCCCTCATGAATAAATTAATGTCCTTTCTGGATTAGGGGGTGAGTTATTACTTTATTAGTTGCTATGGGAGCTGGTTGTTCAGAAGAGCCTGACACCTCCTTCCTCACCCTCTTGCTTCCTCTCTTGCTATATGATGTGTGCTATATGATGTCTGCCCCCTTCATCTTCTGCCACAAGTGGAAGCAGCCTGAGGCTCTTACCAGAAGCAGAATCTGTACATGATTCTTGTACATCCTGCAGAACAGCAAGCCAAATAAACCTTTTTATTAATTACCCAGGCTCAGATATTCCTTTATAGTAACACAAAATGGAGTAAGACATACTCAGTCAGAGTATGCTCCTCAACTTAAAATGGGGTTGTGTCTAGATAAACCCATTGTTAAGCTGGAAATATTGTAGGTTATAAACGCACACTTGGCGTATGACATTTTCAATTTATGATAGGTTTATTTGGATATAACCCCATCATAAATTGAGAAGCATCTAGTAATTATGATAATTTGATGCTCAAATTGACATAATGGGACCAGTAGGAATCCATTTACATTTGTTTGGGTTTTTTGGTTTTTCTTTTACTTTTTTTTCCTTTGACTTCTTAAAGGAATATTGTTTTCAGGTCATAAGAAGATGTTTTAGACTGATCCTGTTTGTTGGTTCATGTCCCCATGCCTCTTGTCCTGAGTCATGGAATCAACTCATTATTCAATACCCTCTTATATTAGGGAGTCCTGGTTCCTTTTAGAGGAAAAGAACATTAGAGACCAAAAAATCTGGCTGCTGTGGGTGCACATGGCAGTTATAGGTATGGAAAAAGATGCTGCTTTTATTATAATTCTTTTAATAAGTTTCAGAGTTGAAAATGTCATCATAAGGTCAGAAGTTCACTCTGATTTTTCTTAACTTAGATTTCTATGATCTGCTTTTTGCATTTGGGATTTTATTGAATTTAAATGTTTTATGTGTGGTGATAGCTGATGTTTATTTCTTGTTAAGACCTGTCTGAAATGATAAACTAATTTGCCTCCCATTTTTGGAGATACTGCTCTGATTCAAATTTGTCATGGTGTTTCTGAGCAGCATTGTGAAGAAGTTGTTTTAGAACATTCAATAGTAGATGATATCTTGAATTGTTCATAGACTCCCTAGAAAAGAAGAAAAAGTAGACACAAGATTTCTGTCATCCTTTTACAGGATATTGTGATCATCCAGTTTGGGGTATGAGGGATAAGGGACCCGTGTGTCTTAATTTCCAGAATCGCATTCCATTTCAACGAGTCTTCTGCATAAGTGTGGTCTCAGGGTTCACTGTCTTTGTTATTGATCAAACTGAAACCATCTCCAGCGGTTCCTCAGTGGATCAGAATCTGCTATTCATTAGGCCCCCATATCCATTCTAGCCTGCTTCTAGGAATACAGAACCAGTAATTTTTATTAACACTCGGCCATACCATCTAGAATAAGGACTGTATTTATTTCTCCAAGGTGTCATGTGACATAACTTATGGCAAGTAGGATATAAGTGAATATTTTGGCAATTCTGGAAACCTCTTAAAACACTGGCTTAATATATTAGTATTTGAGAAACCCAGGTGAAGAGTATCCAGAAATTCTTTGCTATTCTTCCAAGTTCTGTGCAAGTCTGAGTGCTCATTCCATTCTGATGCCAGAATGGTAAAATTCATGATTGATTTGGAGCAAGGCCACAATATCAGGCTTACATCCATACAACATGGTTGAGAAATTAACTTTTATCTTTTTTATCAACTTTAATTTGGGACAGTTTTACTATTTTACTCACAAGCAAATTTAATCTTAAATGATACAACCAGACTGTCATGTTAAAAGTAGTAACAGTTAACATATCCTTCTGTGTTCTCTAAGTCAAAAGCACTGATCTATAGAGAACAGAGTATCCCATGCATGTTGTCATGTACTTATCCCACACCCTATTGAAATCACAGTACCCAAAAGGGAGACATATTTTTTTTTCTTCAGGAATATATGTTTCTGCCACATCTATGATTCTCCAGAATGAGATGACAGAAAATGCTAAATATTGTTAAATGACTATATGTAGTTCCACTTTAGATGGTAGATAGGGGGCTCTGCAAACTCATTTTCTAGTAAAACTGACAAAAAAAAAAAAATCATAAACCTTGCCATTTGAGGTCTGAACGTGTCTAGAGTATATAGGAAATGAAATACGAAATTCTATTAAAACTTGGTAAGAACCAAAAACTTGGTAAGATAATTTGTGGCATTTAAGACACAATCGACTACCTTTTACTCTTCACAGCTCAATTTTATAGAAGTTTCACTCTGGATGGATGCTGCCAAGATGATGGAACTCCAGCTGTTAATCAAGGTTTGTCATATATCGACAGGAGGGGCACACCTCCAGGTTTCTTATCCCTACCAGCTCTTGAGGTAGTTAAATTCCTGGTGAACACAACTAAGATGTTTGGGGCTCCTTTGCTTCCCCCAGCCCCACCCACAGTTTGGAAACTCTACCCAGGCACAGTGAACTCAGATTTGGACCCTGATTGCCCTTGCCTCAGCTTGTTTGTAAGGCAGAGGTTCACAACAAGAGAAACTAGATGGCTACCACCCAACTCATTACCCAGAATGGTGGTTCAGAGATTTTGTCCAGAAGGAGTGGCAGTCCATAAGAATAGAGCTCTGAAGCTCTCTCCAAAAGAAT